TATCAGGATTGCAGTCTGACTTGCTGTCTCTTCAGTTTGAACTCGAAAACTCTCTTCCAGAAGACCGAAGAAGATGTATCAATGAACTGTAAGTGAACTTTGTTTATCATGTGTACAAACTTAGATTTAATGTACCAGAGACTGGGAATAGAATGAGTCAATATTGGACTAGCAGTTTTTGAGAAAAAGAAAGCGTTATAGCCAGCCCCATGTTATTGCATAAGTCATACCCTGTTTTCTAATAGTGGCTCATACTCGACCCTGACCTTCTAGGGATGGATCAAGTTAATCTTTTTTCCTTTTGAATTAAAAATGTTATCTAGTAGGTTACTTGGCAACTTTTCATATGCTTTTTCACATCAATGTGATGAGGATAATCAGGATACTCGACCCTGACCGAAGACGATGTATCAATGAACTGTAAGTGACCTTTGTTTATCATGTGTACAAACTTAGATTTAATGTACCAGAGACTGGGAATAGAATGAGTCAATATTGGACTAGCAGTTTTTGAGAAAAAGAAAGCGTTATTGCCAGCCCCATGTTATTGCATAAGTCATACCCTGTTTTCTAATAGTGGCTCATACTTGACCCTGACCTTCTAGGGATGGATCAAGTCAATCTTTTTTCCTTTTGAATTAAAAATGTTATCTAGTAGGTTACTTAGCAACTTTTCATATGCTTTTTCACATCAATGTCATGAGGATAATCAGAATGAACTCTTTGTAGAAATATTCATGATATGCATTAATATACATATTTATTAGTTTTGTATATCACAATAGGATTTGTGATATGTGTACACATATTTATTCTTGTATGTCTTGTATATCACATAGCATTTGTGATACGTGTTTATCACGATAGTCACCTTTCATATGTTTTGATGATATTCGTTAATATGCGTATTTAATAAATGCTTTGCATCTTTTACGGTGCAGATGCACCCTTATTCAGACCCTGGAGCAGTTATTGTTCTCGTCGTCAACGACAGCAGAACCATTGTTAACACCTAGGGTATGTCTTTCTACTGTGTTTGTTGATTCATACTAAGAAGCCTTGTTACTTTGTATTTTGCTTGCTTATCTTCAAATTTTTGTATATATACTTGCCAAACATTCATAATACCATATTTGTCCGTCTAGATTTTACGTGTAACCTTAAAGATTTAGATTTGTGTATATTTGTTTCTTGACACATGTTAGGGTATATATGATTAAACATAATACCTATTGGGTTGGACGTGGAACTAATTTTCCATATTGCAAAATACAAACAAAAGTGAACAAATTCTTCATGAGAATTTGGCATGTGCATATTTTCTTAAAGATTCGGTAGACATGATAGACAACCAAAAAAGTAGAACTAGACTTTCGAAGAGTAACTTTTCTTGAAAATTATTGTCATGATGACCATGATAGTTAAAACAGTCTTGTATGGCACTGACACTAGACCTGAGGCTAAACATATTTATGCAAATGTTCTTGTAATTTCAATTTTCAAATATTTAAAGAAATTCTCTCTAAAAGTATTGGTATAGACATTGGCAACATGGCTGGAGCCTGGTGGTTGACAGTCTTTTTTTTATATATACATTTAATGTTTGAACAATGTAAGGGGTGTCTCCTCTTCTGTTTGACATCCACTACTCTTTCTGTTTCCTGCTAAATGATGTGTTGAATCCCAACCATTATATTCCACATAAAATTTATATATTACGAAGTATTTTGAACATTCTACTTGGGAGTGCCAATAGTTCCTTTGTGCTGTTAAAATCAATGTTCCAGTTCTTTGATGTGCTAAAAGTTGATGGTTATTGCATGTTTCTGTTTTTTCGCTCAACTTTCTAATTAAGGTTATTCATGCAAGCTTCTCTTCTGGGCTCTTCTCATCTGACTTGTATGTGTCTGTTGATAGCCTCTGATGCAAGCACTTGATGATATGGAAAAGGTTAATTCTCAAGTATCTGCTTTTGTTGAAGAAGTGACAGAGGCTCATCGTCAGAAGGCTGAGGTATAAAGTTCATCAGACTTTTCTGATCTCCATTTCATTAAATTTAGTTAATTGAGATGTTAAGCCCAAAGATAAATGATAATGGCCATTAAATCATTCCACCCATTCTTTTGTGAGTTCAATATGTAGTAAGCATTCCTTGGCAAATTCAACAATTTGTAGATTGTCAAACATCATCCACATGAGGTGGGACGGGAGAGGCAGGTATTTGTTGACTTCTTCTGCAACCCAGATCGTCTCAGGAATCAAGTCAGAGAACTCAGTTCTCGTGTCAAGGCTCTCCAAGAGTGAGAAGTCCACTCATGGCATCTACAATTTCAACATTTCTTGTGTTGGTACCGTGAGCAAGCAGAAGAATATCATAAACATTTATTCTTTATCACGTCATACTATATTTTAAAATTTGCTGATGGGTGGACCTTGTGCAGGCCTTTGTGAATGCAGAAAATAGTCAAGGGCAGTTTCTCCGAGAAAGATAATGGTCCCTGTTGCCTGTTTACCAAGGGAATATCCAATCCACCAATATCTTGGAAGTCCTTTTCTGATTAAGTTTGTGATTTATAGGAAGAGGAAGTTGCTGCATGTAGTGTGAGAGTCAGCCTCTCAATTCCCAGTGGTTTTTGTTGGTTAATGTTCCATGGGTGCCAGTTGGTGATCTTATGTAACCTGTAACCTTTGAGTAGCATATACCAATATGAGATTTCATTGTTGCTTGTTAGCTAGCAGTATATTGTTCCCCCTACACACCCCTCCACCCCCCAAACACTTCATCCAAGATTAAGATGGTGTAAGATGTATCGAAGTTATGGACTTTGTTATTCCTTCATTTTAAATTGTTTTTCCTCCTGAATGGTCAAGTAGTAGAATATGTTCTTTGCAAATTCATGGCCGAAAAAGTTTCTTTCCATCCATCTCCTGGGAGTAATTTGTTCCCTTTATTTTGATCAGATCTAATTTTTAAGCTGGACAATATTGTGACCTGCTGCTAAAAAGCAAGACATTGTGAACCCTATTATTCAGATAGTAGTAGTATTCCTTTGTCAATATTTTGTTACTTTACAATTTGTAGAAACCGCTACAGTTTTACATATGTTTGTCTTTTTCTTTCAACCCTGGTATTGAAGTTAAAAAGCAGTCCAAACTTGCAGTGAGTTCAAGTCAACCCAATACAGAGAAAAAAGAAAAGAGAATTGATATTGGCCAGTGCAAGAGGTTAGATTAATTTGTAGAGACTGCATCTGGCTCGAGAGATAACCCAAGCTCAAACACATCTACCCAGTTCAACCGGCAAGTTATATGTGCATTAATTTTGAGTTTTCTGTTGATACAGTTAACATTGGCATCACACAGTTATATCATTTTAATTGGTTCATAAGTCTGAGTCTTGGTTTTATAGGTAGTAAACAATCGTACCTCTCCACAATTAGATGATACCACTATTGAATTTTCATTGGTACAAATGACTACCGTTATTCTTGAGATGACAGGAATTACAAATGAAGTCCAACCAATAAATATGATTAGTGCAAAGAAATGGCAGATTCAGCAATTACTCTGTCAAAAATCAGAAATGTTCATATTTCACATACAGCAGGTTGCTTCAACTCTGGGGCATTAAAGCAGCCCTTTCCATACTACAGAGCACTGGCAAAGTTACATAGCAGAGGGAAGGCCAAAATCACATGATGTTGCTGGCAGGGTGATGAACAGTAACACCACTGCACACAGGCTGCTGTTGTTCAAAGAACAGAAACAAAAAAAGCATGGCTTGAACATATTCTCCTTTGTTCTGATTCCAGTTCTTTTCTTTTCTCCAGGACCTGATGCCCTATGCAGACTATACTTGATACGAATCAAAAAAGAGCATACTGATGCAACTTCTGTTTGATGCACCTATCAATCATAGTCAGGTATGGGTGTATATATACAATTCAAGGACATGTAGATTGATCATATAAAATGATGCATCTCCCTCTGCATAAACTTACCACTACTGCTGGTCTCCCTCACAAGAACAAAAGAGCTGGACACGCAACGAGAGCATGCACGAGGCTAGTCTCAACATGTATCATCTATCTAAGAGGATGTGCTTAGGTTTCCAGTGTCCTCTGCAAACTCCTCCCTGTACATCTCCTCTATCATCGGCTTCCATATCCGAACTCGTGCGTTTATGAACCAGTTGGAAATCTGAACCAATAACACACCAAAATGAGAACCATCAACAAGCAGCTATTTAGCAGAGCAAAATTATCCACAAGAGACTTGAGGAGGTTTGAGGTTTGGACATCACTTGGTTTCTTGTCAAGCCTGTCTTGGAAGCCAGCATGAGTTTCTCAGTGTCATCAGGATATCTGCAAGGAAAAAACAAAAACCACACACTGCACACTGTGAAGAGTTTATAATATATTCAGATCTAAGTCCTGACAACTTTTGGAATGCATGTTAAGTAAAATTATGTGGTCCTATTTAATTAGGTAAGATAGAAAAAAAGTTCATACTAAAGTAGGATTCCTTAGGAGATAACTGACAATCAATGCTAGAAGGGGCATTTCTTTCCCAATAGAAGAAGTGTTCAAGCCTACTTTAGTAGTGGATCTATGCTTGGGCAGCTTAATCGATACTTCAAATACAACGATTGCCATGTCTGTATCCGATCGAACAGGAAAGCCAAGCAAGAACTCTCAACTTATCCTAGACTCTCTGCTCTCGCCTATAAATAGACAGGACCTCTAGGGGCTAAGCGCATCATCTGAGTGCATCTGAGGGTATCTGAGTAGTATCTTAGCAATTGAGAGAATAAGATATTTCTCTCAATCTTCCTCTCCCCTAATCTCCTAATCCATCAATCTAGGTAGTCCTGTGAAAAGATAGGAAGAGAGGAGAAAGATCTAGTTCTCCTTGCAGATCCTTGCAGATTGATATTTCAGATCCGAAGATGAAGCGCTTGTAGATCAGATAAGGTTTATTCTTCTGAACAACAAGAAAGATACGCATCGTAATATTGTTAGATCCAATTTATTTGATTTCAATCTTGACATAAAAGTTTTTCCGCATTACAGATAGCATGATTACAGATTTTATGCTAACATGTTAGAGTTCATATACATCGGGATCATTTCCTAACAAGTTTGGGATCATATATATATATATATATATATATATATATATATATAT